ACCTACGTGGTCGTGTTCCTACTGTTGGTTGTAGTGTGTGTGTGTGTGTGTGTGTGTGTGTGTGTGTGTGTGTGTGTGTGTGTGTTGAATGTAAAATTGGTTTGGGTGAGGATCAAATGAATACGTTTGGGGTAGATATCCGAGTATTGGCCATACTCTCGCTGGCTATGATTTGAGCTAGTGCGCACCTCAAAAAGAGCATAGCTATGCCAGTGGGAGGGGCCAGCCACCTTGAGTATGTGCCTAGCATCTCAGACAAGTATGTACTCGGCGTGACTAGTGGCGCACACCAAAGTGGCTACACCCCATTTCTAGTATGCTAGCTCAAGGAGAGCCGGTGCAGGTATATTTCCTTGAGCTGAGATTTATGCTTCCAGTTCAAAGAGTAGACCTACCTTAAGGAGACCAAGTTCAGAATAGTATTTCATGCATGTCTGACCAATAGATTTTTAAAAAGCCATTAAAGAAGTGCAGAAAGTACAAAAGGGATGTCCGAATCAAGACAATTGTTCAAAAAGGATTACAGAAACTAGCTCTAAGCTTTTTGAATATGAAGTTAGACAGAGGTAAATGGAGACCTCACAGAACTCTGAACAAAACAAATGATGTATGAGTCAAATTTATCTAAGATGTATCAAATGATACAAAAATATCTGATGAGCTGATCATTCATTGTATAGTATGGGATTTTTCTTATTAAAATTCTGCAGAAACTACCAGAGGCAGCAGAAGTTATATATGCAGTGTTTAGAAATTAAGGAAGTACTTGAAGAGGGTGTCGCACATTCCTTTAAGAGAGGAATAAGTGTTATAAAACACTGAAAGATGGGGTACACCTACATGAGCTACTTGGCCATTTTCTCTCCTAAACATGAGTTATAATTAGGGCAGTGGTTCTCAAACTATTCTACTGGTGCCCCTTTCACATAGCAAGCCTCTGAGTGTGACCCCCCCCCCCTTCTGAATTAAAAACACTTGTTTACATATTTAACACCATTATAAATGCTGGAGGCAAAGCGGGGTTTGGGGTGGAGGCTGACAGCTCGCGACCCCTCATGTAATAACCTCTCAACCCCTTGAGGGGTCCCGACCCCCAGTTTGAGAACCCCTGAATTAGGGCCACATGTAACCTTTGATTCTGTAGCTATGGATTAGCTGCAGAATCCACTCCTTGCTGCAGAGTTGTACTCAGAAATTGAAGTGCCTGTTTTTCTTAGAAACTTTTTTTTAATTGCTTACAAGGAAAACTTCTAAATGTGAAATGACTGTAAACAAATGTGGCTGTTTATTCCTGAGTCTGCAGGCAGCCTGAAACAATGTCTGTAGTGTGAACTGCTCCCTTTATGTTGAACTGTGTAAGAACTTTGATACCAATGGATGCTGATTTAAGCAGCCTTTGTTAACCTTTTCACTTCTAATCATTTCAGAAGAAACAACTTGCTTAATTGCTTATCCCACAATCCCAAACCATCTCATACCCTTGCCGAGGTACCAAAACTGTTCCCTTTCTAGCTGATCAAACCTCCAGCTTTCCTGCTTGACAATTCTGTAATACTGTTCTTTCTAAATGTCATTCTGCAGCACAATGAAAAATTATTAGGAATAGATTAAAAGTGATATTAAATAAGCATAAATGTTACACTGACTGCACTAATCTTTCATATTTCATTTAATGAAAAAAATTATCTGAAACTACTTCGAAAGTAGAAGCCTGCTCCACTGGAATAGAGTAGAAACCAGGGGCCTTACCACACTATTAATATCAGCTTTTCCACTGAGCCCGGGGCCTTGTTTATAACCATCTCAAGTAATAAAGATATCAATCCTGTATCAGCTCACTGTTTAGAGTAAAAAACATACATGTAAAAAGTTTTGATTTTTGACATTCTGAATGACTTGCTTTTGTTTCCTAGCTGAGGTTCGATTAGGCATGGGCCATTGCTTCGTGAAACTGAACAAGTTGGAAAAAGCTCGTCTGGCATTCAGCAGGGCTCTGGAGCTCAATTCGAAATGTGTAGGGGCTTTGGTTGGATTGGCTGTTCTAGAGCTCAATAACAAAGAGGTGGGTGTGAGCTGGGATGGGGAGAATGTGAAGTGCTGTATTGGGTTTCTAGTTAAACAGTGAGCCTCACAACAGTCTGAAAATCATTTTGTTTTTTTTAATTTTATATATATTTAATAATCACTGAATCACTTACTCTTATTCACTGAATCATGGTATTGCAATTCTGAATAGTTATGAAGAGTGCAAATTAAATAATGCTAATCTCTCGTGCGCTTATTAAATAGAAGTGGCTCTAAGAAGTGATATGTACACTAAGTGATATGAATTCAAAACTATAGTGACTAAATTAAATATATATGTGTGTATTTATTTATTTAACATAGAATAATAAACTGTGCCCATGTACGCAGTCTGAGTACATTGCTAATGGTTTGAAATTTGTCCTTAATTGTGGAACTTTAATCAGTTCACCACCTTCAATAAGCAGCCCCTCTAAATACAAATAACTCTGCAACACATTGGCCAGTGTTGCATTCTTCCCTTATCCTCTTTAAAGGCCAGGCATTAAAAACAAGTCCTTTACCATCCTCTGAAAGTCTGCATATCTCAAGTCAAATTGGTCTGATATAGAAGGACACTTTAGGGAGAATGCCATACGAGTAGCCCCCTCGCCATTGTATCAAGGAGTAATCTACTGTCTGTGTCTCCACTGATTGCAGTTGTAGCAGAGTATCTTGGTAAGAAAGGCAGTCTCTCAGGTGGCCTGATCCCAGGCTATTCAGACTTCATAAGTCCAAACCAACACCTTAACATCTGTCTGAAGTTTGCATGTAACTAGTGTAGATTCAAGAGTACAGGTGTCACATGGAACTTGTCCACAGTAAAAGGTTTGCCACTTTAACCATATTGGCAAAACCCTCCTGTGTTGATAAAAGAACAGGAGTACTTGTGGCACCTTAAAGACTAACAAATTTATTTGAGCATAAGCTTTCGTGGGCTACAGCCCACTTCTTCGGATTCATAGAATGGAACATTATATGTGGAACACACACACACATACAGAGAGCATGAAAAGGTGGGAGTTGTCTTACCAACTCTGAGAGGCCAATTAAGTAAGAGGAAAAAAAACTTTTGAAACCTGTGTTGATACACTTTTACACTGGTAGAACTGCATGTACTGATTATTCCATTTTGGCAAAGCAAAACGAGCTAAAGTGGTATACATGCATCTACACAAGGGCTTTTACCCAAATAACAGCATCAGTAAAAATTACACTCTTTGCCAACATAGTTATGCTAATAGAACTTTTAGAGTGTAGTCCAGGCCTTGCTCTCTATTGGACACCCTACTTACTAAATAGGTGACCACCTTCTGCATTGTTTCTAGCTTTCATATAAATTTAAGATGTAGCCTCATGTAGAGTGCATTGAAAATACAAATAGTAATTCTATTTCTGTGTGGTTTTTCCTTTTGCATCCTTTCAAACCTGCATTTGCACATTTAACTTTATGTACAGTATAAATAAACATATATGGAAATGAGAGAATTTACATTGCTAAAATTCTAGAACCAAACCAAAAAGTTCTAAAACCTGAGATCATAAATGATTCATTAAACTAAGTTCACAGGGATATTACTATGATAGCTTTGGAAAAGCCCTATATATTTTTGGACTGTAAAACACTTTCACTTCTATTGCACCTTCCATCTGATCGTAAAGCATTTCATGAATATTAATCCTTTCAGTTGGGTATTTTACCCTTATGATGGCTAAACTGAGATGTAGAGTTGCCAGAAATTATACATTGAGTCAATGACAGAGCAGAAAATAGAATTAGAGATAAGATTTCTTCCCTGTGACAATTTCACATTTGTGCCAGCTTGCAAGTTACTGTACTTGTCATGGGTTCTGACTTGCAGTTTGGGTTTGTATTCAGGAAAACTAAATTATTGCAAATTAAGAGATCCCCTTGGAAGGGAATGATGTTTATTTTTTAAAAGGCAGACTATAAAAAGCAAATGCTTATCTAATATTTTATAGTGTAGTAGTGCTCAAAGTCCCTAGTTGAGATTGGAGCTCCAGTGTGCTAGTTGCTGTACAAAGGCATAGGAACACATGGCCAGAGCTTGTGCATTAGAGAGAGAAACCTATAGTGTGGGAAAAGGGGTACAACATATTAACAAAATAATCAAGATGAGGATGAGCATACATGGTGTTTCTTCTTTTAGTAATTGTGGCCAGAGTGGGGATGAAAGGGAATGTTGGGGCTGCGTGGGGGAGTAAATAGGAACAAGGTAGTTGAGTGTGAGGAAAGGTACCATAGTGGGCTGAGGAAGTCCAGTCATGAGAGGATCTGTGAGGAGGTAGGGGGAAACCTCCACCTCAGGAAGTCCTGTTCCCCTTTCTCCCACCCATGAAAGGGCCCATTACTCTCTGTTGTGAATCTGGGGGGGGAGAAAAGAGGTTCTGGCTGGAGCTCTGTCTGTCCTAATGCTGCTTCTGGCCATCAATGGGAAGGCCCTTCTGAGCCACAGTTCCTGGGACTTGTGAGAAGAATAGCTCTGAAGATGTTATATTGAGGAAATACGTTGAAATATAGTGCTAATATCTATCAATATTTCATCTAGGCTGATTCTATCAAAAACGGTGTTCAACTCCTTTCTAGAGCTTACACAATTGATCCCAGTAACCCAATGGTGCTGAACCACTTGGCTAATCACTTCTTCTTCAAAAAGGTAAGAAAATACATGAATGTAAAATTCCATAACCTTCTGAACAGTAACCGCTCCAGTGTCAAACTCATTACTGCTTCTGCCTTCCAAAAATCATTTTAAGTCCTGCATTTCGAAAGGTATTAAAGTACAGCTGTTAAAAGAATAAGTTTTACCCATCGTGTGACTTTCATAAGGCCAAAGGGTAAGAATAAATTTTTTATTATAGGCAGACAAGTGTAAAGTTTCAATTTTAAAATCCCTTATTACTTTTTTCTCAAGACTGCCAAGAAAGCGCACACACTTTTTTCTTAATTTAAACCTACCTATGTTTCCTGAAGACATTTATTTTCTGCTACTTTTAAAACTGGGGTATAGAGAAAAGAACAGTAACTTGTAAAACTAAATCTACTGATGTTAACTTACCAAATTCTATTGCTTATGTTTGTCTGCATTAATCAGTCCAGGCCTGATGTTTCAGAAATGTATAAACTTCACCATAAATGGGTTGGGATTTTTCAAACTGAGTTTTATTTTCATCATTCAGGATTATGGTAAAGTCCAGCACTTGGCTCTCCATGCTTTCCATAATACAGAAGTTGAAGCTATGCAGGCAGAGAGTTGCTACCAGCTGGCCCGGTCTTTTCACGTACAGGTAGAATGAATTTTAAAAAATCCTCTTCTAGATTACATTTAGGACATTGTAATATTCAAATGTATTCAACATTTTTAAAAAACTAAACAGAACACTAAGAAAATAATCCATCTGCTTTTTTTTCTCATTTTTTTTTAAATTAGGAAGATTATGACCAAGCTTTCCAGTACTACTACCAAGCCACACAGTTTGCCTCATCCTCTTTTGTATTACCATTTTTTGGATTGGGTCAAATGTACATTTATCGGGGGGACAAGGAGAATGCATCACAATGCTTTGAAAAAGTTTTGAAAGCCTACCCTAACAATTATGAGACTATGAAAATCCTTGGATCTCTTTATGCTGCTTCAGAAGACCAAGACAAACGAGATATTGCAAAAGTATGTTCAAATATTTATTTGCTGAACTTTGGATCTCAGTATTACGTGTTTGATGACCTTGAATGTATGTCACTCCAGCTGATGCTTCATTCATGCATCCAAGGGTAAAATTTGTCCCTGAAAATCTGAGTTATGGTATCACTAAAAATCAGGTTTACTTTGCTGTGAAAATAGAACTGTGTGTGTGATAGTTTTAGTAGGTCAATCACTTTTCCAAATGGCAGATGTTATTAACTGCAGAGGAGGTAATGTCATCTGAACAGAAGTGGGACCACACTACGAGACCTGTTAACCAAAGCTAACAAAACCATTCTGTTTTCTGTTGCATATGGAAAAACACTTGTTTTCCTCTGCACAAAAAAGGTGATTTGCCTGTAAATGACAACTTGATGATCACATTTCTGGGAATATTCTTGTCCTCCCAGTTTAACATTCTAAAAGGACATTGTCACATATTAATACAACATTTTTAAAAATTTAAGTCTGTTTACTCTTTCTGATGCTTAGATCTTTTCCTACTGATTTTCTTTGCATTTAGTCAGCACTGCTTTTCCCTCACGTTTTGAATGGCAGTGTGTTAACATGGTTTGGTTTACTGATCAGTAATTTAACAGTATAGAATACCTCTCTGTCATGACATACTATCTTTTTGGTAGGGAACACAGACATTTCCCAGCGCTGAGCTTTAATGAAAACAGACAAGCATAAGATTGGGACTGAACTGAAAATAAGTTTCATGGCAAATCAGTCTGCTAATTTCTCAGTTATTTGAATGTGGTAGTTTTGAAGAAGTTTGTATTCCTCCTGAATATTTAGAACCCTAAGGGCTTTCCCCATATCTTACTAAATGTGGGGGGGGGGAGGGAGGGGAATAGATGGTGTTGAGTTAAGTGATGATGAACTAGGTTGGCTTTGTTGCCTAACATGCTCAGTCATATGCATACATTTGAGGTTTTATATCTTTACAGAAGAGAAATGTACTGCTTTCAAGCCTAAACACGTTGAAAACCCAACTCGGGTGCCTTTTTTGACAGTTTATATTAATCTTTTGAGTGCATAAGTAATGTTTGGTTTTTCTCAGGGTCACTTGAAGAAAGTCACAGAACAGTATCCAGATGACGTAGAAGCATGGATTGAACTAGCGCAAATCCTTGAGCAGACTGACATACAGGTATTAATGCTGTAAAATGGAGACATTGTATAACGTATACACTTGGTTTAAGTTACAAAGTGATGCATAGAACTCATCCTGCTACTTCCTCCCCACCTCTTCAATCTTACAATTGCACAGGGTGCCCTCTCAGCCTATGGAACAGCAACACGCATCCTTCAGGAGAAAGTGCAGGCTGATGTCCCACCAGAGATTTTGAATAATGTGGGTGCTCTCCATTTTAGGCTTGGAAACCTAGGTGAAGCAAAGGTACTAAACCACATTACTACTTTTTAAATAACCTAATTTTAAGAAATTATCCAGAGTCTGAGTTTAAATAATTTAATCATCCAAGCATTCTGTTCCTCTCTCTTTATTTTGTCCTTAGAAATACTTTTTGGCATCTCTGGATCGTGCTAAGGCAGAAGCTGAACATGATGAGCATTACTACAATGCTATCTCAGTAACAACGTCCTATAATCTGGCAAGATTATATGAGGCAATGTGTGAATTCCATGAAGCAGAAAAGCTATATAAAAACATTTTAAGAGAACATCCTAACTATGTTGACTGTAAGAAATTCTTCTATTTTGGTTCAACAATCCTCTTCAAACTGAAAGATTTTTTTGTAGTGAGGCCCTCATCTGCCCCTTTGTATTGTTTGAGATTTTTGTTTTATGACAGACTTCAGGAAGCTGAGCGATTGTCTTGTGTAACCGATGTATCCTGCTTTCTTTTGAAATTTTCTTTCTTCTATTCGGTGCATAGCTCATAAGTCAAATCAGAGTTTTCAAATTTTAACTATTTTAATTAACACTTACACAAGATATAGTCAGAGATAGAATAAGCTTTCCAACTCAAAAGATATTCTCCAGCATTTAAATAAAAATCATATGTAGTGTGTGTCCATATATAGAAATAAAAATATAGAATATATTTAATTGCTAGATAACCTAAACGTATCAGGAAAAAAACAGTTTGTGAAATCCATGCCTGACCTAATTTATTCTATTTGAGCTGATTATGTAAAATCATTTTCTGTTTTTAGGCTATTTGCGCTTAGGAGCTATGGCTAGAGATAAAGGCAATTTTTATGAGGCTTCTGATTGGTTTAAAGAAGCACTTCAAATAAATCAGGTTAGTGAGACTCTTAAATATTTAATTTAGAACTAAAATTTCAAATTGGATTCACTGGATTACTGTCTTTCTCTTTTTTTATGAATGTATGCAAGTTATTCAAAGTAGTCCTTTCTTCTGGTTAACTTCCTCTGCTCTGTTTTCTATATATAAAAATGTAGTTTATTTCCATATAATACACGTGTAATACAATGATTAAGGCTTGTATTTAGATGTCTAACACAGATAAGTGAAAGCAGTCCTTAAGTTACTTACAATGGAGTTTGTTTCAGGACCATCCAGATGCTTGGTCTTTAATTGGTAATCTTCACTTGGCTAAACAAGAGTGGGGTCCAGGACAGAAGAAATTTGAAAGGATATTGAAACAACCATCCACGCAAAATGACACTTACTCCATGCTGGCTCTTGGTAATGTCTGGTTGCAAACTTTGCATCAGCCCACCAGGGATAGAGAGAAGGTAAATTTCACATCTGTTGAAGTGCATTGGTATGCCATTAACCTTTGACCTCCCTGGCGCAAGTATTTTATGTTGTATGGCAAATTCATCAGTTGTAAAATATTAGGTGCACTGTCACCAAACAGATGAATGATTGATTGATCTTTTTCTTACTCACGTTTGTAGGAAAAGCGCCATCAAGATCGTGCACTAGCAATCTACAAGCAAGTACTTAGAAATGATCCAAAGAATTTGTATGCTGCTAATGGCATAGGTGATTATTATACTTAAATTCCCTTTAGTAGTTTACTAGTGGTGGTTCTTGGATTTAGCTCTTTTAGTATATAATCTGTAGAGCATTTCAAGCATTTTTGGTTTTTTTGCAGGGACTGTACATTACTGATCTCTGGAGGAATGTCTGTCTATATCATGCAGCTAATTGTCTCCATTTTCTGTTAACATTCTGGTAACTTTTATAGTATTTAGACCTGGAAGCTTACACTGTACATTTAACTTTCCCTTTAGGAGCTGTATTGGCACACAAAGGATATTTCCGTGAGGCTCGTGATGTTTTTGCCCAAGTGAGAGAGGCAACAGCAGATATCAGTGATGTGTGGCTGAATTTGGCACACATCTACGTAGAACAGAAGCAGTACATCAGTGCTGTGCAGATGGTAACCTCTATAAGTTGAACCATTTAAAATATTGGAATGAGGTAGCAAAGGAATAGCTAGAGGTCGTTGCTAGCAGCTTCAGCTATTCTGAATAATATTCTGTTTTAACAAATTATGGTCTTATTCAAAATAAAATAGAAGTCCTTTTAGCTACCTGGTTATGTCTAGATTTAGAAGTGAACTGCTAGCTGTGGACAAGAGTAACAAAGGATCTATCAACTTGTACATTTATCTTTTCTATGCTGTCCTAAGTAGAGTTAAGATATAAATAGGAGGCATTTTTGATTGTGTGTAGTTCAGTCAACACAGTCACTTTGTCATTTATAAGAGAACCTTACTGAAGTAGATAAGTACAATTTGCTGTCTTTCCTTCATGGCAAAGTTTTGTAATCATGGCCCAGAGTGACTACTTACGTGTATATAACACACTTTCAAAACTACCAAGAAAACGTTTATAACTTCATCATCGCCCTTTCAACACACACATAGTTGATCCTACCAACTATTTTGGTCGAATCCACAAACTCAAGAGTCATACTAAATAATTGAGAGAAAATGCCTTTTGTACTGGGGTCTGGTAAACTATGGCCTAAACAAAATTGTTTCCAAAGAAACATCCATCCGCTAGAAAACTGTTACTGTAAAACGTGTGCCCTACGAGTCAAACTTAAAATAACAAAAACAAGCAAAATTCAACTGAATGATATTTTGGAGACAAGCTCAGAACAAACAAAAAAACATTATTAGAGACATGGAAATAGAACCCTCCTTAAATTGTGTGTACATGGGCCTTAGAATAAACACACCTAGGAGCTTCAGAATGGCTATAAAAACATTACAAGAAACAGCGATGCCATATGGTTTCATAGTTAATATGCCGTAAAAAACCTACTAGATACACTCCTCCTTTGAAACTACTGATAAAACTATTTGATAGCAATAGGAGTCAAATTATACTATATGAAAGTGAAGTCGCAAGTCTATTGTAACAGCCAATTGCATTGTTTGGGACAAAAATCTTAATAGATCAATATCTTAATGCTTCAACATTTTTGCAGGTATTCTATGAGTATTAGAACTCCAGGGACAAACTAGGGGGGGTCACTTACCCGTATCCTTCTGACGAGCAGAAAAGAATGCAAAACTTAAGAGCAGCATAGCAAAGAGTTCCTCCACTGCAAAGCACAGGGAGATCAAAAGATCGTATCCAAATAGAACTAGCTTGATAGGCATTTATTAAAACTGACTGTTCTTTTTCCTCAGAAATTATAGTGAAGGAGCGGGGGAGGGGGGTAAAAGAGGTACATCAAGTATATTTCAGGTTATGCTAGCAATACATATACATGAATAGAGAGAGAGAAAATGGGAATTTAAAATTTCATAACTTAAATGAACATGTTTATTACAACAATTCCTTTTCTTGCACAATTTGTACCCCTACCCTGATTACTGTAAATCAGTGATTCTCAACCTTTCCAGACTACTGTACCCTTTCAGGATTCTGATTTGTCTTGCCTACCCTAAGTTTCACCTCACTTAAAAAACTACCTGCTTACAAAATCAGACATAAAAATACAAAAGTGTCACAGCACACTATTACTGGAAAATTGCTTACTTTTTCATTTTTACCATATAATAAAATAAAATTATTGGAATATAAATACTGCACTTACATTTCAGCATGAGTGGTGAAAACATTGTCTACTATAGAGGATTATAAAACAAGTCACTGTATGAAATTTTAAGTTAGTACTGACTTCGCTAGTGCTTTTTATGTAGCCTGTTGTAAAACCAGGCAAATATCTATATGAGTTGATGTACTCCCGGAAGACCTCAGTGTACCCCCAGACAACCAACCACTGCTGTAAATGAATGGTACGTGCTTACAATGTTGTCCATTCCAAAATGCGTAGGATCCTATTGTATTAAGCTAAGGACTTGCAGGAGTCCTGAGGGACCTACAAGTTTTTACAGTAACTGGGAACTCAGAATGGTATACAGTAAACAAAGTGGAAGAGAGCCACGCAATATGATGTAATTATTTAAAACAAAAATAATAATCATGAAATATTCTATTTCATGAATAGAACCCAAGTTACTTGGAATTGTCTGCAATACAAAACCGCTACAAGAGTTCTTTAAAACTCCACTATCTCTTTTTTTAGTAATTTGATCTCTCCATTTCAGTATGAAAACTGCCTCAGAAAGTTCTATAAGCATCAGAATACTGAAGTATTGTTGTACTTGGCCCGAGCACTCTTCAAATGTGGCAAATTACAGGAATGCAAACAGACTTTGCTGAAGGTAAAAATATGTATGTATATTGCAGTTCTTAAGGTACATTTAATTGCTTACCATCCATATGTCATTGATAACTTTCTGCGATTTAAAAGATGTGCATTTCATTCACAGGCTAGACATGTAGCACCCAGTGATACAGTCCTTATGTTTAATGTGGCTCTAGTGCTACAGAGGCTAGCCACCTCTGTCCTGAAAGATGAAAAAAGTAACCTGAAGGAAGTACTAAATGCTGTGAAAGAACTGGAGTTAGCCCACAGGTAACAATATGCAGTAAAAAAAGAAGTGTTTATGCCTTTTTTTTTAATTGCTATAGTATGTTTTACCTAGTTATGTTGTTAAAGAAAATACTTTCTTCTAGAAAATACTCAGTGTGTATCTTAAACTCCAATTTTGATACGAGTGAAAGTGTCTTCTGTAAAAATCTTGTGTGACTTTAAAAAAAAAAAAAAAAAAAAACGTTACATCTCTCTCAACATTCCTGGTTGAAAAGCATCAGATGTAGAGAGCTTAAGCTTGAAAAAATGGAGCTCTGCCAATCTTTGCTCCAAATCCAATTTTGATGTCATATGTCCTGATAAGCTAATGAGTTAATCTCCAAAGAAGTTCGGTTTTTGTTTTATGTCTCCACCTTCTGTAGTTCATTCTGGTGGGAGAAGAGCACAATTGAAGGGGACGGGGAAATCCTATCACAAACTGCTATTCACTAACTGAAAATAATAATTTTGGTTAAAATTTTCAACCAAAGCAGAAATTGTGAAAATAAAAAACAAAACAAACAAAACTACAGCTTTGGAGCCATTTCATGAGCTTGTTCAAGGTCTCTTAATTAATCAGACTTCATAAGTTACCTTACAAACTGTACATTTTTAATAAAGAGAACTAAGTGTAATTAGATTAATCAAACTGTCAGCACTTGAGAGCATAATCAGTTGAACATGCCATAGAAATTAAGGCTTAATTCAGTCCCTTGGTAACTAATGCTGGCCTTCCACAGCGTTCTTTTCTTCCTGCCCACTTTCCTGATGCAGACTCTGGTTGTAAAATCTTGGATGAAGTCATTTGTTTTATATCCTGGTTACCTGCCAACCTACTCCAGTGATAGATCTCAAGGAGTAGTTTACCTTAAATTCCAAAACACTGTGTGGCAGGCAAACTTTTACTTTTTTGTTTGCTTGAACAAACCGCAGTGTGATTCTTCACTTTTGAGCTGTATACCTATCAAAGTGACTTGTTCAGTTACAGAAGTGAGAAGTTTATGTAGATAGCGATTTGGTTACAGGTATCAACCAACGTTACAAATTGAGTACTTTTTTTACTAGTCCTGGCTTCGCTTTGCCACTGGACATCTCTAATTCTGATCTCATTCATAGTTACTAATCAATTGCCATTGAGTTTTCTCAGTCAGACCAACTAGAAGAAGGTCAGCCAGTCATATCGGCATGAGGGATTCTGATATACTTCCAAACAGTTTGTGCATCCAGGCTGATATTGCTGTCATTTGCTTTATATACTTAAGCATAATTCTGAAATGCGAGGCAAAGTTGCCTAGTAGATGTTCCTTTTCAAACTTCTATTATAGCAGGAATTTACTTCCTCTGAGCCCTTTTGCCCTATTTCCTTATTCATGCCCAGAAATATCTTGCTCCTAGTATTGACCAAAACACTTCCTCAGGATAAAGGCTTCTAATTATTTTGCTCACAAATTAAAAATAAAAAAAAACCTTTTATTTATACAAGCAATCACTTCAAAATTGTATTGCATGCTGTAATACAAAAATCCAGTCAAACAAATTTCCATTTAGAAATCCTGTAAGAGAAGTCTGTAATCTCTTGAGGAAAATGGCTTGCATTACATAACTGAATTTGTCAGAATTTGTGTGGAATTTAAATTATCCTGCTTGTCTGTACTCACTAAAGTATTATGGTCCTTCTAGGATTACCCATAAATTAGCCAGATTTTTTTTTTAAGTGGAGTTGATGCCCCAATCTGGGGGAATTCAGACTTCCAATGCATTTCATTTTTGCTGCTGAATGTCTGTCAGGATAAACTTGAGGGTGGAATCTGAATCTTGTATCTCATTTAAAAAAAAAACACACATTTTTTTTCATTTTCTTTGCAGTAGAATGCTAGGTCAGTCTAGCACAGAAAAAAAGTTCTACTCTAGAAATCCTCTCAATCATAGAAAGGTAGGGCTGGAAGGGACCTCCCAAGTCATGAAGCCCAGCCCTCTGTGCTGAGGCAGAACCAAGTAAACCTAGACAACTTCTCAATCTGCAAGCAAGGATTTCTCTTTTGAGGGGGTTGGGAAGTCTTTCTCTATTGCATGCCTTCCAGAAGCTATACCTATGGACCTCAAAACCTCTAAAGGTCTCTAGATCTATCCTCACTCACTTGTGTTCCTGCATCTTCTGAGATCTGTGCTTTGTCGAGAACATGTAAATTGGGTCAGGGTAGAGTTCTAGCAGGAAAATATATATATTTTTTTTCTATTTCCTCCCTTTCTCACTGCAATTTCAATGGTCACCCCAGTCCAAAGTAGAATGAAAACAGATAAGTGTGACTAGTCCCAAAAACATAGTCAGGAGCCAGTGGAGCAGGGTTTTAAAGACTCCCTCCTGTTGATGTCATCAGCAGAGGCTACGGATGGCAGGGTAGCAGGACTGGGTTATGCAGGTGCAGCAGAAGCAGATACTGAGATTCCTGGGAAAGCTAGGCAAGACTGATCTGTAAGCAGGGGAGAGATTATTTTCAAGGCTGTCTCCAACAGAGCGCTCTCTTTCTGAGACATCAGTTTCTTTCTGTGTGAGAATTACAATACATAGGAATTACCTGACACATCTGTGTCTAGAAACTAGGCCTGCCTCCAGTATAGAAGCAAATAGAGAATTTGTATTTGACCCTCTATTAATGGGAGTTCTAAGCATTCATTTTTAAATTAAAAAGATCTAAGACTTGATTGTTAGATGTGGTTCTGTTTGAGTACTTTAAAATAGAATCGAACCAAGCCAACTGTGCTGAAAAGATGCTATCTTTTTTTTTGCAATTGTTAGGGTGTTCACCTGAGTTATCACAGCCAAATTTCTATTTACCTACATTTTCCCAGTGGTTTCAATTGGCTGAAGTTTTTTTTTTCATACTACTTGTAAACAGTTTGATAGTGTCAGCAGCATTAGAAGACTGTCATGTTCTATTTTAAACATTTCTACACGCTGAGTGAATCAGTCCTTACACAAAGCCTGTAAAGTGTTTTATGACCTTTTTGGATTAAAGGTGGAAAAGAGCAATAATAATTGTAGGGATCATTTTAAGAATGTTTATTTTATGGATATCAGACTTAAATTGCAATGGAGTGTTTAAGTAAAACAAAACAGGGAATATAAGATGAAATGTCACTATTTCAATCTGTTTTTATTTTTCATTTTCCCTCCAGATACTTCAGTTATTTAAGTAAAGTAGGAGATAAAATGAGATTTGATTTGGCTCTTGCTGCTACTGAAGCCAGGTAAAAATTATTCCTTTTTTTTCTGATTAAAACAGAGTATTTTCCAGAACTAAACTCAGCTGTCGGTTTGTTATTATGGGGGGAATAGTGATAAGGCTGTGTGAGCATTTTCATTAGAATTTCATTTTTTCAGTTGCTCATAATTTTCCAAAATTTGCTGCTGAGAGGTTAGAACTCGCCAGGCCTGGTGTCTGCCCTCTGGTGGAATATTTGTTTGTAAGCTTGAGCAAAACGTTGTGAAAATGTGTTGTGGGTTTTTTAATGGCAACCATTTTTCCCTTCAAAATAATTTTTGGCCTTTTTTTTTAAGGGGGCTTGGGATCAGAAAGATGAAATCTGGCAGCTAACTACCTTTCACTAAGAAGTGCTCTGGTGAAACCAGTTATTTGAAGAGTTGTTAGGACTTCAAAATGAGTTCATGCAGTACTTTGGATGCAGCTTCTTAGCTGTTTTTACCAGTGCTCCAAGTTAAATAATATAGTACTGTGCATATGAGCCCATCTTGCTTAGGTGTGCAGTAAACAGATATCTGTAAGATGCACATTGAATGAAAAAACTCGGCTTTATTCTTTGCACATCTTACAAATTCAGGCTTTTCACAGATTGTCATGTGCAGACCACAGTACCGATAGAAGTTATAGGTATGTCTGAAATTGTGGGCAGAAAAATATTTTGCATTGTATTTGAGAAACTATTTGTGAACATATTAAAGGTCACTTCACAATGAATACTACTTTACAAGGGGATTGAACTGAGAGCACTTACTACTTCATTTCCTGATGTTTGAGCACTTAAGCCCAGATTTTTAGACAGGACTGCACTCAGCGTTACCATGTCTGATTGAGTTAGGAGCCTAAATCTCATTTTCAAATGTGATTTAGGGCACTTGAGAGCTTAAATCCCATTGATAATCGATGGAATTTAGGCTCTAATGTGCCTAAATCACCTTGAGATTTAGCCCTAAATCAGTTTAAAAAATCTGAGTCCTGAACATACAATCTTAACTTCTGAATATATTTTTGGATTAGGTTCATTAATTACAGCTGTTTAAATACAAGGTGCTTTTGTAAGGGGTATTTGTGGAGCTGCACGGCTGAATTCAAGACTCTTCCTCTTTATATTAAGGATTTTTTCTTACTGAAGTAGCTAAACTTTTTAACAAACAAGGCAGCTTTTGAGTAGTATTCTGTGTGGAAACATGTTCCTCAGGCTTAAATTAAAAAAGCTAGCTAGAAAATCCATATGTCTCAGAAGATGAATAATAAACTGAAGTAAAAGTCATACCACTGTAATGGATTTTAAAAGGAAAAATCTATGTTGAGTATAGAATTATTTAAACACTTCAGTTGTTACGTTACTTTTGATGGCTTGTATTTTGTTCAGTGGTATGGACAAATTTAGTATTGTGATGTAGGTTCTTTTTAGAACGGTCTCCTTCTAGCATGTAGGATGTGCCTAGAAACTTACTTTCCTTTAATTGAAAACATTGACTGTTATAGGCAATGCTCTGATTTACTGAGCCAAGCTCAGTATCATGTGGCTCGTGCACGCAAGCAGGATGAAGAAGAGAGAGAACTGCGTGCCAAGCAAGAACAAGAAAAGGAGTTGCTCCGCCAAAAACTGCTTAAAGAACAGGTTTATATTCCCTGTAGTACTCTGTGTTTTAAATGTGCTTGTCAACAGGTGTTGATACCTAGAAACTGTTCAGGAGGTAATAGTCAATATGAATTTTTTAATGTAAGCACTTAAAGAGGGGGTTGAAAATTTAGGGATATGTAAAAAGGGGTGAAATTGTTTCCTCTATGGAGCTTGTTCATTCAGGCTTTGGGGAAGGAAAGGTGAAAGTGATATCTGGGAGAACAGAATTCACACACACATACGCACCCCTCCCCCCCAAGCCATCCATAGTCACTGTGATCTATAAACTACACTAGCAGTAGCTGCTTCTCCATGCCTCCAGTGCAGGGTCCTGATAATGGTCAGTTTGCTCTGATTCTTTCAGGAAGAAAAACGTCTCCGAGAGAAAGAAGAACAGAAGAAACTTCTGGAACAAAGAGCCCAATATGTGGAGAAGACCAAGAATATTTTGATGTTCACTGGAGAAGTAGAAGGATCGAAGGAGAAGAAACGTGGTGGCGGAAGGGTACAGAATGGAGTTTTTTCCATACTTTTCTATAATTTAGAGTTACTCTGTGACCAGAGTTAAGACCGGTATTAATTAGCACCTGACATTTAGTGGGGCATTACAGAGTGCTCATCAATGACATGCAGACACTTTTGGGATGGAAAGTAAATTTAATATATTGCTCCAAGAGTACAGTACCGAAAATAAATATTTTATCCAACAAATAGCAGCAGCGAGTGGAATTATAAATTCTAATATTCATCTTAAGAACCAGCTTCTTAGTGCTGAGTCTGTACAGATAATGGGACAGTTGGGGCATTACGGTAAAAAGTTTTATAGTCTCCATATGTTGACTGGTTTTCAGATTACAAATAATCTGGTATGGCGTGGGTTTTTAATTTATTGCAGCGTTCCAGAAAAGGAGGAGAATTTGATGAGTTTGTCAATGATGAGAGTGACGAAGATCTGCCTGTGTCCAGAAAGAAAAAGAGGAGGAAAGGCAGTGGTAGTGAACAAGATGGTGAAGAAGAAGATGGAGAGAGGAAGAAGAAAAAGAGGAGGAGGTAACTAAGTTTAAACCTTTTTGATTCTTTTTGTAACTCTGTAGTATCGGTTTAGAGTATACCTTACAAAAGAGTCTGTAAATGGTGTTAGAATAAGACCAAGTAGATTTGCTTTTTTTCCCCAAACAACTTTCTTTAAAAAAGAAAGTTCCCCGTTGTAAATGACCATACACCTCAATTATAAAACGTAAATGTTAGCAAAATGCTAACTGTTCATATTCCTATAATACAAGAAATGTCAGGTTAACACATTGATAATTTGACACTGTTGGAAATAAGACACTGTTTATGCAGGAATTAAATATTAATTCTGACTTGATTTTTGTGTTTAAGACCCCAGAAAGGAGATGATGGAACTGATGATGAAGAAAATGAAAATGGCCCAAGACCTAAAAAACGACGTCCACCCAAAGCAGAGAGGAAAAAGGCTGTAAGTTTAAAAGTGTAATGCCTTGATAGTTCCTGTTTACATTTGGAAGATTACAGTGCGACTGCATTCAGTAAAGTGACATTCGCTGTAGGGGGAAGTATGGAAAATACTTCCTGCAGCAAACATGCATCATGCTGTCCCCTTCTTTTATGTCTACTAATATAGCAGTAGCTACAGGGATGCTTCTGAAACTCTCCACTTCCATGTTGAAATCAGAACATAAATTCCAACCAGATGATTTATAAGTGGATGCAGAAAACTAGACTTATTTCTAACAGCTATCTGTTATGTTAGAACAGTTGTACTTTAAGCTCTCAGTTATTGATATCAGTTTTACTCCAGTGAACAAGCAATATTACTTCGCATTTTTTCCCATACAGGCCAAGCCAGAACGTCTGCCTCCTTCAATGAAGGGAAAGATCAAATCAAAAGCCATAATTTCATCTAGTGAAGATTCTTCTGATGAGGATAAACTCAAAATTGCTGATGATGGGTATGAATCTTTATTGATTTTTGTACATTTTGAAAGTCAAATGCTGAGTTTTTACCTGATGGAAAAAGCTCTGAGATTGGCTTTCAACCTTTGCCATATTGGGACAACCCTTCCTAGTTAACTGACACCATTCTCTAAATGAGCAATATGTAAAGGGCAGGTCATGACCCTTTTGATATCCAGTCCCTCAGGTTGCAAACCCATGCTTGAAGAGGATGATTAAAATAAAACTAAGTATATATTAGTCCCAAATCTAAATTGACATAACTATAGAGTTGACACTCCTCAAATTAACAAACCAATCTCAGCAAGTCAGGACTATCATGTTAGTCTAAATGGGTTCTTTGTGTTTCACCTTTCATTCTCTACTGTATTTCCTTGGTGATCCACACAGATTTGCTAAATGCCCTTTTTCATAGCCAAACTAGGAACCACTGCATTTGGGAAGATAATGAGTACTGCACTATGATACAAGATACCATATTCCTCTCTGAATTATTTGAGTGTCCTTTTCTTCTCTTCCTTCTCAGTGGAAGTGTCAACATCTCTGTGAAATCCAGGATTCTCGCTTGATCATAGTAAGCCAATGCTTGCGGCTTTAATAATTGATTATACTGCTTTTTTTTAAAAAACAGAAATGCCAGGAACAGCAACAGTGATTCTGATGATGCTGAACAGCAGCGCAATAAACGCATCATGTCGGACAGCGATTCAGATAACAGAAACAAGTCTGGTAGTGAGGTAGGTAGTCCACGGAGGTCCAGTGCTCATCCATCTGATGAGGATTCTGACAGTGACAGGTCAGCCAGAAAGAAGAGACGGTCAGATTCAGAACAGTCTGACAATGAGTCTGTGCAATCTCAAAGAAGCCACTCTGTACAGTCGGGAAGAAGTCACTCCGGTGGCTCAGAGAATGAATCTCGTCCAGCTTCTCGCAGTGGTGATTCAGACAGAGACTCTGATAGAGGATCTGACAACGAGGGCTCTGGCAGAGAGTCTGGCAATGAATCTGAACCAGAGGCATCCAACATTGAGGGGTCTGAACATGGATCAGAAGGTGGATCAGATGACAGCGATTAGATTTAAATTACAGCCATTTTTTAAAAATTGTTTTTTAAATATACTTCAGTTATGAGGAGGAAAATCCAATTTTTATATTTGAAAACTGATTTAAAGAAAGCTTAATGTTTTAGTAAAACCGTTGTGAAACTTGCTTCATGAGACTTTTTTTTTTTCTATCAAGCTGTACATTACTAGGCATTAATGGATATTTCTCTGTGTTGCTGTATATGGTGTATTTTTACACTGAAGCTAACATAGCTGAAGATCACAGATGCTGTACAGTGAGTGGTAACAAACTCACACAATGAGGGCGGGGTGTATGTAAATGCTGCAGAACAAAAACACCAAGTTCAAAGAGTTGGTTAAAACTGGTGTATTTTGTTCCATGTTTCTACATGCAAAAAAGGTACAGGCCAGTCTTCATGAGATCTTATTGAATGGTACAAAGAACTTTGGGTATTTATTTCTTTGTGTCATTCTGAATAGAGATCAATGCTGACGTTTTTTACTCTCTGTTAGAGGATAAGTTTATTGTGATGCAACTCCTAAGTTTTGAAAAGTTTTCCTTCTTGTGCCTGCTTGTTTTCCTGATATACCAATTTAAAAAAAATAAATAAAAAGCAACAAAGATGCAGGTTTAAACAAAAGTTTATGAAATAACATTACAGGTATGTAGATAATATGCAAATATATTAAGTTGACAGGTGAAAAATAAAGATGTAGAAAACTTTCCGTATTCTTATATGGTAGAGTGAAAAGATCTGCCACTGTTGTAATAATAAAAAGTAGTTACTACCATCTGTTTTGGAGTGATCTATTTTACTTCATCCTTTTTTAAAAAATGCCTATATCCCGAACCCATCAGTAACAAAACAAACAAACTGCAATCTATTATGATGGTGGCAGCAGAAAATCTTGAAGTTCAGATGTCATTAAGAAAATTAAGTTTGCCAGCAATCAGACATTTTAGTTCATTTTTAATTTCTAATAGATGGTTCCACGTTCAAGAGTTTTAAAAACCCTCAATCTAGTACCGTCTGTACCATGTAACAAACCAAATTTGTATGTAGACACTAAAACCAGACTTTTCAATCTGCTACTCTAGTTGTTGTGGCAATGTTTCCCAAACTTGAGAGCTGAGCTATCCTTTGGGAAAGGAAACCAATTTGATTCCCTAACATCACCATGTATTAAAGGCCTACCCAAAATGAGCATTCACTCAAAGTATATTGTATAGAACTTCATAATATGAGACTATATCACCTGAGAGAGTTGCCGGGTCTAGGGTAATGTACTAAAATGGTTTCCGTCCTTTCTGGATGGATGATCCAAACAAGTAGTGATGGAAACTGCACCTCCACACTAGACTCCTCGTTTACGTTGTTCCACAAGGATCAGTTCTGTTTGGTCCTTTTCACCATCTACATGCAGCCACTAGGTGAACTGGTCATATGACACTGACTCAAGTGCCAGCAATTTGCAGATAATACACTGCAGTACCTATCCTTCACCACATATAACAATACCACTACCACCAAGATGGCCCAGTGCTTGGATGAGAGCAGTTCTTGGATGAAAACCACCTGGCAGAAGCAGAACTTGAGCAAGACAAGGGTGACGCTGGTGGGCAGAGGATGGTATCTGGAAGAGGTTGCAGATACGGTGCAGTCTTGGTTGAAGACGGACACTCACAATTGGTCAATTCGGTCCATAGTGTTGGAGTACGCATGCATTCTTCACTGACACTGAGCTCTCACATAGCAGCATCACCAAGTAACATTCTACCATCTTAGTCTGGTGGACTAAGACCCTGGTCTCAGTTATTCATGCCTTCATCATCTCTCACCTGGATTACAGCAATGCAGTATACCAGGGTATAAAGTCTTCAACACTTGGGGAAACGCCATCTAATACAGAATGCTGCAGCATGGTTCCTCAGCAACACAGGTTACTGCAAACACATCAGACCTGTCCTTTACACTCTATACTGGCTTCCCATAGAATCTCAAATCAAGTTTAAGGTCTTGGCCCCCTATATTCAGAGTTCTCCAGGGCTTGAGCCTAGGATATCTAAAAGCTCTGAAGACTGTGATAGGCAGTTATGCTCCTCTGGCACAATGGAACTCAACAATAAGAGTAAAGCTCGTCAGTGGTGGAGACAGCATTTTCTCAGGGGGCTGTCTGAGACTGTGAAATGAACTCCAAGAACTAAAGGCCATCACAGACCTTAGCCTATTCTGCTCCAAGTTCAAAGCACCTTTCTTTGACTTTTTTTGCCTTCTCTAACGTAAATATTTAGCAACGTATGTGTGTGTGTGTGTATTTTAAAAAGAAAAACCACCCAAACATGATAATCTACTGCACGTTCTTCCTTTGGGGAGGATGAGAGAATCTGTAGTGACTTTGCTTAATGCACTGCTGGAAGGCTCTCAGATACAACGGTGATGTGTGGTATAAAAACCTGTATAGAATATAATTACTCCCTTTCATGCTTTGAACTACTTTAAATGCCACTATTAATATAATTGTTGGCGTCTGAGTTAGCACCCATTTTAATAAATGGGGCAGTCCTTACCTCTCAAGGCTGTTGTTTCAGGTTCTTTGCAAACTGCAGCAGATATCTTCAAGCAGATGCAGCTGTATATTCCGCTTACCTGTGTGCGCGCCCAACTCACAGGAGCCAGAGAATTTTGCCTAGTAGTACCTGTGGGAGGTGGTATACTTAATTTCATGTTTTGAATGTTTTGTTTGCAGCCATATCAAACTTTTAAAATTATAGCTGAGACTCTGGAAAATATTTGAGGCCCGTGTAGCCCTTCATGCTCCACATGTCAGGAAATGCTGTCTCATGCCTAGATTTTCAGAAACATATGTGTAAACTTCAGCTCCTAAACCCATATTTAGGCACCTAAGTAACCTGCTTTCGATTAATGCTGAGCACCCAGCAGCTCCTATTGACTGCTAGATGCTCAGCACTCTCTAAAACCAGGCCACACTTTTCAGTGCCTAAATGTGGACGTAAACTTTATTCAGCTTTTGTCTTTAAAAATCTTTGCCTAAATGTGCATTTCTGCATCATGTATGGTATAGAGCTACCTCTGTGTTTTATAAAAGTGATAAGCATTCTTAACATGAAAAGCATACAAATATTAATGTACATTTAGTGCTGCATACAAATGTTACTGTGTAAAATTAAGCTGTATTTTAGTCATGAGTGGCCAAAAAAAAAGCCTAAATTACTATTTTCTGTTGGCTGCATCCTTCTAAAAGGGTCTTCAGAACTAAACTTGTGAGGGGAGAGAATGTGGAAATATTCAGCTTAGAGAAGAAGAGGTAGATGCTATAGGTATTCATACGTAACTTTGATGTGGATGGGGAGCAGGAGCGGTTAATACAGAGACAGCAGCTAAATTCCTACCAACAGTTAGGGGTTTGAGAATCCCCATGACTCCTTTTTTCTAAGTGTGATATGCAAATTGTCTTCCCTCATTTGAAGGAATTTATCAGCACTCCTCAAGTACAAGTGGCGTCTGCATCCAGTGGATGATATGGTACCTAAGCCCCTGACTTAGTACTAACCTACCTGAGGCTAGTAGGTCTAGTTAAAGTAGAAAACGCACCTTCTGCCCTGAGCCTTGGTTTTGAGTCTCTCTGGCTTCGGATACATGCAGCAATACCATGTTCCATGGAGTCGAAGACTGTCACAGGGATAGCTGCACATACTGCTTCATGTGGAAGTGTGCTCAGACCATACTGGGGAAAAGAGACCCCTCCTGATTTCAAGTCAGGCTGCCCTGCACTTCCTGCTGCAAGTTCCTTGCCTCATGTGACCTACAGCAAGGGACCTGCCTGGTCTTCCCTGAGGTGGCATTGCCCTGGTGCTGTGGAACCTGTGCTGATCAAATTTGTAGATGGCAGTAGCAAACACATGGAAAACCAGTACTAAACTCCAAAGTTGCGTGGAAAGAGTACTGGAGCTGTATTCAGCAAGGAAAAAATTGATATGAACATGTAAGGTCCTCCAACATGAGAGAGAAGAAATAAAAAGCATGGATCCAAAATAGAGGGAACGTACCCAAATAGTCAGAGTCCTCCCATCGAGTCTCCACTATCACTTTCCTAATATTTTATTATGATATAACGGAAAACAATAGCTGCTGCAGGGAAGGTGTTGATTTGGAATGGGCACAGTGGCTGAGAAATAGAAGTGCCAGAGAAGATATCTGTTTTGAGAAATGGTGCACAGGATGAAAAAGTTTGAGAAGTAGCAGTTTAAGGCAAATATACTTAAAATCTTAAATATTTTTGGCGTAGGGACTAGGAGTGGAGGAGATTGGGGCGGGCAGAGGTTGGAATAAAAGAGAAAGCAGCTACCTGCATGTTAAGAACTTAGCAGTCATAAATTGAAGGGAAAGGAAATGCAGAAAATGTTTACTTAATTGTAATATTAATGAGGTTTAAAAAAATAAATCCCATATTTCAATCTTTCTCAACTCCTTCCTTTGGGCATCTCTTCACAAGGCAATTAGGTTACATAAGATGCAACCCTGAGGAGTTGTTGCAACCCAGTGTTAAATGCAACTTAGCACTCTGTGTAGGTAACAAAGAGTCCTGTGGCGCCTTATAGACTAACAGACATATGGGAGTATGAGCTTTCGTGGGTGAATACCCACTTCTTCGGATGCATGTAGTGGAAATTTCCAGAGGCAGGTAGTCTGTGTAGGTAGTCCGTTATATTTAACATGTCAGGAACCATAACTCGGTCATATTCTAAAACAATGTAATTTCTCAGGCTAGACAAGACCTCTGACTAGCTAGTCCCTTAAGTAACTACTTCAGACTTACCAACATGCAACTAGGCTTGGCAGAATTAAATTTTTATTATAATGTTGACAGGTAATATCAATGTTTCTATTTAAGCATTTTTTCCATTTTTATTGAATTAAATTTTCAGTTGCACAAAATGTACAAAGTGAATATCCTTAAATCAAACTAAGTTCTCAAGCAGCATTTTTCTTTCTTTGTCTGTGTAAACTTAGGTTACACTGCTCTACAGCCAAAATGCTTCTGAAATAAATGTAGTCAAACTTTACTAATTCTGGGTCACTGATGCTTAAAATTGTTGATTGGCTCTAGTTTTCAAGATATGCTATTGGGTCGGTATATACGACCCTTGACTTGGGAATGGCGGAGGATAAGTGAGTTATAAAGGGAAGGGATCTCAATTTAAACCAGAAATGACTAAAATACATCGTTGACTGGATCTATGAATAAATCTATGACTGGGTTTGAACAGTACTTGTTTTTTAGGCAAAACAATGAATGATGCAATCTGAAGCTGGTATTGCATCATACATGATATGAATTGTATCATGTTATTCCTAGAAGTCATGGATGATGCAATCATAACGAAGCTTACATCACTCTGCTGAAAAAATTGCCCTATATCAGCTCTAGAAATCATACAGTGTCGTGCTCTCTTATTTGTCAGTGTTTGATTTTGCAAAGGGACACATTTCTGTTTAGCCAAAGTGAGCAGAGATGCCTCGTACTTGTGTGAACAGTGCAGATAACTTCTGTTATGTTTGTGGTGAAGTGACTTTTGCATCACAAAAGCGTAGTATAACCATTATGGTTAAGAAAGCCTATCACCTTTATTTTGGCTGCAAAATTGGAGATCG